AGACATGATTGTGGTTTATCCAGAACCGTACTCTGTGGGTCACGATAGTTATGGTGGACCAGGGCGATATATACCTCCCAGTCAATATATGAGCGGTGGATACAATCCATTGGAAAGCGGAGGATCCAACGCGTCACCAATATATCCTCCAAATCGCAATCTCTACAATCAGCCAGGGGCTGCGAGAGGCGATTACTTCCCACCAGGTCAGCAGCAACCTGACGGTGCTTCCCTTTTCAGCGGATATGCACCAGGTCCTCCGAGAATGCCCGGTCAAGAAACAGGTAGACCACGGGTAGATTCATCCTCGACTGGCCACGGACATCCACTGTCGGAAGTCGCAACAACAGTCCCATATGGTAGCACCGCTTATACTGCCAACTCGAACGGATCTAGTCGGCTACCTGAACATGGTCACTCTGTTCTGAACGTATCCGAACAACCCTTACCTCCTCTCCCCGCCAATAACCAATCTCTAGCCCTCCACACTGCACCACCTCTACCAGCCGGCCGTATACCCCCGAGGAAGGGGCAAGTGACCCTTCCACCTAGCGCCACAGCTGAACAACAACAAGAGTTCCGCGGTTTGTCAGAGGAGGAGCTACGGAGAAGAAGAATGAACGTTGAGGGCCGAGAGCAAGACTTTGGGCCTCTCCTCATGGACGATGTTTTACCTTCTCAGCCAGGTGTTCCGCTACCTCCAGATTATTCACAAGCTACAGAAGTTTTGAGGCGGTAGCATTGCATTTTTTGACTCTCCTTTTTTTGATAAATATTACCCACTAGCTCTCCTTACATTCCCCTCTTCTCTCTCGTGCACGACCATCTCATGAACAAGGCATTTAATGCATCTCTCTCTCCTTCTCTCTCTACTGGTTCGAGCTGTGATTCCGCCACATGCATTCTTGTGTATCGCCTATTTAAAAGCTGAAAGCGATGATCGCGCAATCTACATTCCTTCCAAAAATAGTGACTTGAAAGACTATGAGTTTAGTTGACGCCCATATGTGAGAAAGGTAACTTCTCTCGATTAGACCTGACCGCTTTGGACAATTCCTTCGATTCTTCGAACACTTCGACTTTGTCACGTGTGATCTACTCGTTTAGCCGGAAGCAATCATGCTACGTCTATGATTAGATGGAATAAAACCGAATCCCGTCAACAATGGAAAGAAGCTACCCTCTGTGATAATGGACCCCTACATAATGAAACAATTATATATCTACGGGGACGGGCAGTGGAATATCAACCTCCTCCTTTTCATTGACCTTTCTATGTATATGTGGAGAACCAATCATCACATATCTCCGAACGGGTTAACCCGCGCCGCGCGACATTACGGCAATTACTGCGAGACAGCCGTTATGATGAGAAAGATCATGTCACAAATTGGTGAAAATTGACGCTGCTCGGGATTTCGGGGGCCTTGTTACTTGTGGATGCATTTGTAGAAGCACTACCTCCGATGAAGCACCTCTGGCACCGCGCGTTCAAGCAGCCAGCGCTCATTCAGGCAACATTCAACAATACAAGGGTCGTGACTTCTACGGTGTATCTCTGGGGAATGTATTAGAGGCGAGAACTGTCACTGTCAATCGAAAGGCAGGGTATCGAGGGGGTTGACAGGTTGTGGGTCCATGATTTCACCTTAAATGCCTAAACCTTACGTCCAAGTCTTTATACCTCCCCCAAAACATGCTCTTTTACGCGTTATTCATTGTCCCAATTCTGACCTGGACTAGGCTTGGCAATACCCAAGAAACTCGTCGTGCAATAGAGGTCTATACGCTGTGCAACCAAGGGTTTTCCTATACATGGTCTGTCCCCTCTGTAGTCTCTCTCACTGAGTTTAGTTGACCCAAGTTCTAGGGACGACGTGAGTGCTTCGCTTATCCATGAAACAGCTCCTTATGGATGTTTTTAACTTGCATATGCCAGGGGCCTAGCAGTGAGTTTACTCTGTCTAGTGCACGACTTTATTAACTATTTTTAGCTCACCACCAGGAGATTGCCCAGGAATTCGAAAAAGTTGGAGGGAAAACCACATTTTGTACGTACAATCAAGTATCATGATACAATATTGAACGATCCATGAAATAGTTGTAAACGGGGACAATCAATCCTGTATATATGATGAAGACAACGTGAGGCATCTAAGGGCGAGTGTAAGTACGCCACATTGTAGTCACTTGGAAGCCTCACCGACAGCACGTAGTTTGAAGCTGGGCATCAAATCGCATCCCATACTGTACGTGAACATCTCTTCGCTTCTTAATCATGACAATAACATTGTACTGGCAGTGGTCGTAAGTCATTAAAAGCGGGAGATATAGCCGTCCTTCTCAAAGCCACATGTCCAGACATGCATCCCTTGTCAGCCTTAACGACACTCAAATCGATGCCGAAATCTTGAGATTAGACGAGGCTTTAATCAAAATACTCGGAGTACGGCCTCGATTATTCCGGTAAAGTCACGTTCATCTCGCATTATTTGTGTGTATCTGATCTAGCTTCCAGACCACCGTTTGGGGACATAAATGGCCATGTTATCAAATATATACGTCAGAAACATCGCAAAATTATGGTAATGTGGTCCGACGACTCAACAGACGCAATAGGAGGCACAGCGAAACAAAGTTGGGACTTCTATGATGGTTTTGCAAAACATCGTCCCGACTATCCGGCTTTAACCCTTTCACACGAAATTTCTCAGGCTGGTATAGAAGCCCTGAAGAATGGGACGGTTGTTGATCTGGTCAACGCAGGAGTAAACCTGCTTACCACTGCGCAATGTATACACGAGGATCCTTATGAATATGTCGGTGAATATGGCGTCCGGGATGAAACATGGCACTGTGGTGATGGTTGGACGCTTCCTTCATCAGTAAACTCTACAGCGAGATGAGATCTTATCTTATCCGTCAGCTTTGTATTTATCACAATATACCTTGTTTCGACTATCTCGCATGCTCGCTAGTGAGACTGCAGGACATAAGTCCTCTGGGCTTGAGCAAAGTAACTTGCTTCATTCACAGTCTCTGAACGAGTCACCAAAAGCACAACATATCACAGATCAGCACCGTGGGGAGGAGGGTATTGAAGGAAGGGAGGTTCTCGCGGATTTGGTGAGGAGATGAGAAAAGGGGGGAGGGCTAAAGGGTACACGGAGGACCATAGGAGACAAAAAGGGAAGAATTCGACAGTCTTGTGAGATTATTCTCCGAAGAATTGAATGATGAGACTTGCTCAACCACCTTTTCAATCAGCGGTAGCTTCTGCGGGGCCGGGGCAGTCACGAGAAATATGCCCTGAGAATATCAAGGTCAGTGTGTATCGAGGAGTCAGGACTTCATGCTTACCTTCGGATCCACAAGTGTAGCAAGCCTTGCGCTGAGGCTGAGGACAATCCTTGGAAACATGTCCCTAAGTAGGGTT